AGGCGGGCAGGGGGTGGGGCCGAGGCCCTCAGGCCCTGGGACAGGCGGTAACCTCAGGCTCGGCCCAGCCAGGGAGGAGCCAGTGAGGACCCCGGGACAGGTCCTGCCGCCTCACCTCTAGCGTGGCAAGCTCTGTCTTCACAGCCCCTTCGGGTGTGAAGGGTGGTGCATGGGGGGGGGTGAACAGGCCGAGCGCCCAGGAGCTGACAGAACTGCCCCCAGGTCAGCTGGGACCCAGGTGGCGGCCTCTGAGTCCCCAGGGTGCCCTGACTGACCGCCACCAGGCCCCACAGCTCAGGAGGCAGAGGAGGCTGAGTCTTCATGTCTACCTGCCTCTGGTGAGGGAGAATCAGGAGGGTCCAGCACAGGAGCTCCCCGGCCCCGCAGTCATAGCTAAGACCCCCCAGGCTGGGGTCCCCAGGGGTGTGGCTCTGAGGTCCAGGAGCCCAGACTGGGAGACGTGGGCAGGCGGGGCTGGGCCAGGCGGTCTTGGGAGGCAGGAAGGGGGTGAGATCGTGGTGAGGAGTGTTGGTCGCCATCGGGTAGACTGAGTCACCGCGGATGACAATGGCTGACGAAAGCAGAGTGAGACAGGAATGGGCTCCTCGTGCCGGCCTCCAGGGCCCTGTGCCTGCCCTCGAGCCTCCCATCGGCCTCATGACCCTGGCCTCTGCCTACCGATGCGCCCCCCCCCCCGCCGCCGGCCAAGCCCCTCGCCCCGGCTTCCACCCCGCAAGTAAGTGTGGCCACGTCAGCCCAGGTGAGCTTGCACTCTGTTCCTGCACACTCGCGGTCATGGTGTCGCATTTGGAGCCGCGGTCACGAGCACGTTTTCCTACCGGGCCCAGGACACACACGCTCTCTCACGGCACCCTCTGATGTTTCATTTTTATTCTATTCCATTAAAAAAATAGATGCCTGGGCGTGGCCAGCTAGGTCGGCTTTATGGGCCCTGAGCGGCCCCCCGGAGGGAAGGAAGCCTCGCCATGGGAGGCAAAGGGACACTGGCAGCCTGGGACCCCCCCCAAGTCACCACACTCAGGGTCTAGGCCTGGCCTTGACCTCCAAGGCCCACTCGGCCTGGTCTGGTCTCCTCCCGGCCGCCTCCATCTAGCCACACAGGCGCCCTTGGCACCCCGACCCTGTGAGGCCCTCTGCCTGGCCACCCCGCCACACACGCCCCGGGCTCCCACAGACTCTGGCCACCGCCCCACAGTTTCAACCCCAACGTCTCAGAGTCTCTTTTCCTGCTTTCTTTTGCCCCGTGGCACCAGCATGTGGTCTCAGCCGTGAACCTGGCCCGCTTTGCCCCCCACGAGGGCCGGACTCCATTGTCAGCTGGCGGCTGGGAGTCCTCAGCACGGAGACCTCACAGGACCTCACAGGCCGATACTCAGGTGCAGCTCTGGCTCCCAGCACATCCCTTGGGCCCGTGGGGGCAGCCGCGCGCCCAGCTCCAGGAAGCCACCGGGGTGCTGCCTTCCCGCCTCGCTGCGGTGGGAGCCCTCCTGGCTGGCGGGGCAGGGCACTCGTCACTCTCACCTTTCCATATCGACCCGGATATTTGAGGACCTTGTGGCTTGTTAGATTCTGCAATGAGTTTGCCAACTTCCTCCGAAGCGTCACCCACTGTAACGACCTGGGCCAGGCCGACCCGGGAAAGCCGCACCCGTGTGTATAGAGTCGATCTCTTCACCAGGTCCTCTGCTGTGTCCCCATGTCCCTGCCCAGGCGTGGGTGTTCCCACCCAGTCTGTTGTCCCCCGTGCAACTCTGACGCAGCCGGAGATGCCGCCTTTGTTCCTGTGTCCGGTGGAGTCCAGATGGACTCAGACACACAGCACTGGCTTCTGGCTGCCCTGTTGTCTGGCACCTGCTAGAATGTCCCCTTGGAGTGATGGTCTCCTTGTTGATCTGACTGTTTCTTCGGCAGCTTTCTGTCTCCCGTGAGGCTGTCACGGGGCTAAATGTGTCCCCCTGGAGTCCTGCCTGGGGCCTGGCCCATTCAGCATGGTGGGTGCCCGTCTTGGACGCCCATCCTGGTCACAGTCTCACCTGGGTGGGGACCATGTGTCCAGGGTCCAGCAGAAGCTGTGCCCGGGGTGAGTGGTGGCTGCCCCCCGCCCCCACCCTCACCCCAGCCTCTTTCTAATCACCCTTCTCGGTCCCTCTGGCCCTGGGGCTTGGCGGGCTGCTTCTGTGGCTGTGGCCACCTCCAGAGCCTGGGCCAGGCAGGTGCCCCAGGACCCTGGGGGCCCCAAGAAGGGGACCTGCTGCCCAGGGCCCAGGTGTGGCTGAAGGGCTCAGGGCTGCTACCTGTGTGTAGCCACTGGAACCCTTGTTCTGAGTAACTATCTCCTGTGGACCAGGCCTGGGGGGCTGCTGGCTGGGGGTCTGTGAGCCCCACCCACCTCCACAATCACAGACTCCTTAGGGCCCCTCTCGTTCCTGTCCCCTCCAGTTCCTTCTTCTGGGGAGGAGCTGTCCCATACAGACCCCCAGGCATGAGGGCCAGACACCCTCCCCCCCGACTGGGGCAGGTTTAGGCTCTGTGAGGGCAGAGCCCACCACCACCGTGCTGGCCAGCCCTGGAAGTGACGCTTCCACCAAGGCCTGATGCCAGAGGGCCTGGGGACCCCGGGAGCACGGGAAGAGGCAGCAAGAGCCCTCGCCTCTTCTACTCGGCTCCAGGGGATGCTCGTGCCCCCCACTGCGTCCAGGAGGGGTGGGAGGGCGGCGGCAGCCAGGTGTTCGGGGCCACACCCAGCTCTGCAGCTTTTTCCAGAAATGCTGACTTGCGTAACTGGGCAGGGGGAGGTGGTGGCCCGGGTGGGTGGCGAGAGGGAAGAGCTCCCTCCCGGTGACCCGCTATCCAGTTACCTTCTGTCCTTCCGCCTGGTTCCAGCCAGGGAGGGAGAGGGCAGGAGGGCCATGGCTCGCCCTGGGGGTGGGGATTAGTCGGGAGCGTCCACCCCACGAGGAGGAAGAGGTGACCGCCAGACACCCAAGCCGCTCCAGGGGCAGCGCTGCCGAGGTGGGTGAAGTCAGCTTCCCGTCTGCCCACCGCGGGGGCCCCTGTACCTCCTCCCCGGTCAAGAAGCAGCCAGGCTCTGAGCAAGCAGGTGGGTCAGGTAGGCAGCCGGGGGGCCAGACCTGGGCATCCTGCCCCCACCCAGCAGGCGCCCGCCCCAGCCCGTGGGCCCGCCAGACTGACCCCAGCCGCGAGCCCGTGCTGGTGACAGTATGCCTGCTGCCCACCCCAGCAGGAGACTGGCTCCGGGAGTGCCCTCCGACCCCCAGCACTTGCAGATGCCACCAGGCAGTGGCGACACTGGGGGCCGGCGCCAGCATCCATGTGCAGGACCAGGCACACAGCCGTGGGAGTGGCCGTGGCCCTCCAGCCACCCCAAACCCTCCAGGCCGGTGGGTGCACGTGGAAACGGGGACGGCTGGCGCCCTGAGCTCCGGGCCGTTCCCTTCCCTTCTCAGGGTCTCAGTCTGCCGTGCCCAGAGTGTGGGCTGCCTGGAGGACCGGCCGGTCACGGAGGACACGGGCCGAGACTTGACACCTGGGACCCTCTCTGGAGTGCCTTGGGCCCACACCTGGGCCACGGAGGTGATGCCCCTCGTGGCAGCTGCGGGGGATGCGCCGTGCTCTGAGAAATGGGAAGTTGGCATCGTGCCCCCACGCCCCACCGGCCCCAGACCCCACCCAGCCTGGCCCAGTGCCTGTAACCCAAGCTGTGGCGCTTAAGCAGCGGTGCCACCCTGTGCCAGGAGGGGGGCTGGGAAAGTGCCACCCAGACGGGTCTTGAGACCGGCTTCCTGCACCCCCCTGCTGACCGCGAACACCCCACTGCCGTCCCCCGCCAGCCGC